AATTATATGCAGCAGCCACTTAAAAAATACAGGGTCTTTCTTAAATGCAAACGTGATCATTTTAACTTTTCTATTTGAATCCCAGCAGTGGCTGTTTGTGGTTTTCAAGCCAAATACAAATTCTCAGTGTGATGGTAAAGGCTCTTCCCAAGCTGGCCCCAGTCCGGCTAGCCAGCTTGATTCTTCACCACTTCCCCACAAGCACCTTCAAGATTCTTCCTTCACTCTTGAACTGGCTAAGTCACAAGGTTTTCGAGACTCCACTCACATTCCTCTTCTGCAAAGCCTTCCTTGGCATGCAGTTGCCCAAGCATGCAGCCTACTGTTTCAGAAGCTTCCTCTTGTGTGTCCTCTCCACTGGACTGGGGCATTCTTATGTCTTTCCATTTGCTATCTGTAGCACCTGGCCTAGGATTCAGTATGTAAGAGGAAATCTGCTAGAGTGAATATTTTCATATTCTCACTCTTAAATTTTAATCCTAAAAAACTCACTGGAGTATCTCCAAATTATGTAAGAGCTGGTTTTGACACTGCAGAGCTCTATTTCCTAATATTTTGGGAGTATGAATAAAAAGCACTATACTTACCACAGGAGAAATGCACGCAAAAAGCCAGTTCTGGCCTTTTTTTTTTTTTTTAATTTAATAAGCATTTGTTGAGGGGGAAGGTGAAGTTTTTTAAAAATTATACTTTACGTTATGGGGTACATTTGTAGATCTTGCAGGACTGTTATATAGGTATACACATGCCATGGTGGTTTGCTGCTTCCAACCCCCCTTCACCTACATTAGGTATTTCTCCTAATGTTATCCCTCCTCAACCTCCCCACCTCCTGCTATCACTCCCCTAGCCTCCCACTCCACAACAGACTCCAGTGTGTGATGTTCTCCTCACTGTGTCCATGTGTTCTCATTGTTCAATACCCACTTATGAGTGAGAATATGCAGCGTCTGGTTTTTTGTTTTTGTGTCAGTTTGCTGAGAATGACGGTTTCCAGCTTCACTCAGGTCCCTGCAAAGGACATGAACTCATCCTTTTTTATGGCTGCATAGTATTCCATGGTGTATACGTGCCACATTTTCTTTATCCAGTCTATCCTTGATGGGCATTTGGGTTGGTTCCAAGTCTTTGCTATTGTAAACAGTGCTGCCATGAACATACCTTTGCATGTGTCTTTATAATAGAACGATTTATAATCCTTTGGGTATACACCCAGTAATGGGATTGCTGGGTCAAATGGTATTCTATTTCTAGATCCTTGAGGAATCGCCACACTGTATTCTACAACGGTTTAACTAATTTACACTTCCACCAACAGTGTAAAAGTGTTCCTATTTCTCCACATCCTCTCCAGCATCTGTTGTCTCCAGATTTTTTAATGATCGCCATTCTAATTGGCATGAGATGGTATCTCAATGCAGTTTTGATTTGCATTTCTCTAATGACCAGTGATGATGAGCATTTTTTCATATGTTTGTTGGCCATATAAATGTCTTCTTTTAAAAGGTGCTTGTTCATATCCTTCACCCACTTTTTGATCGGGTTGTTTCTTTCTTGTAAATTTGTTTTAGTTCTTTGTAGATTCTGGATATTAGCTCTTTGCCAGATGGGTAGCTTGCAAAATTTTTTTCCTATTCTGTTGCTTGCTCGTTTACTCTAATGATTGTTTCTTTTGCTGTGCAGAAGCTCTGGAGTTTAATTAGATCCCATTTGTCTATTTTGGCTTTTGTTGCCAATGTTTTTGGTGTTTTAGTCATGAAGTCCTTGCCTGTGTCTGTGTCCTGAATGGTATTGCCTATGTTTTCTTCTAGGGTTTTTATGGTGTTAGGTCTTCTGTTTAAATCTTTAATCTATGTAGAGTTAATTTTTGTATAAGGCATAAGGAATGGGTCCAGTTTCAGCTTTCTGTACATGGCTAGCCAATTTTCCCAACACAATTTATTAAACAGGGAATCCTTTCCCCATTGTTTGTTTTTGTCAGGTTTGTCAAATATCAGCTGGTTTTAGGTGTATGGTGTTACTTCTGAGGCTTCTGTTCTGTTCCATTGGTCTATATCTCTGTTTTGGTACTAGTACCATGCTGTTTTGATTACTGTAGCCTTATAGTATAGTTTGAAATCAGGTAGTGTGATGCCTCCAGCTTTGTTCTTTTTGCTTAGGATTTTCTTGGCTATACAGGCTCTTTTTTGGTTCCATGTGAAGTTTAAGGTGGTTTTTTACAGTTCTGTGAAGAAGGTCATTGGTAGCTTGATGGAGATAGCACTGAATCCATAAATTACTTTGGGCAGTATGGCCATTTTCATGATATTGATTCTTCCTAACCATGAGCATGGAATGTTTTCCAATCTGTTTGTGTCCTCTCTTATTTCCTTGAGCAGTGGTTTGTAGTTCTCCTTGAAGAGGTCCTTCACATCCTTTGTTAGTTGTATTCCTAGGTATTATATTCTCTTGTAGCAATTGTGAATGGGAGTTTGCTCACGATTTGGCTCTCTGTTTGTCTGTTATTGGTGTATAGGAATGCTTGTAATTTTTGCACACTGATTTTGTATCCTGAGACTTTGCTGAAGCTGCTTATCATCTTAAGGAGATTTTGGGCTGAGATGATGGGATTTTCTAAATATACTATCATGTCATCTGCAAAAATTTTGTTTTTTTAACCTAGCTTGTAGGCTAGTATCTGCTGAGCAACACAGCCTCTGCTCCCTCCAATGGTCACTCAAACAGTTTTCCCACCTCTCCAACTCCAAACCCAAGAGGCTTTCTACTTTGGTGGTGCACACAGACATTCTTCTGTGTATGCTGAAACAGAGCAAATCAAGAACAGTGGCCAGCACCTGAAATGACTTAATACTTATCATTAAGTTGGGGAGCAATCAGAGTGGAAGAGAGGCAGCTAAAAGCTCATAGTGACTAAGGATGGTGAGTAATGAAGGGAGCATTGATTGAAGGCTGTGGTGGTCATAGATGGCTTTGTGAGAGTGAATCACCAATACCAGGGTGGGAATCAGGTAGACTTATGGGAAAGGAAGCACTTCCAGGTGGGCACCAGCATAAGCAACAGTCAGCTAAGGGTGTGAAGGAGAAGACTCCCCAGATCAGAGAGTGCTTGGCCCTGGGAGGGCTCAGGCATGCAATGAGGTGGGGAGGAGCAGGCATGCCAGTGTCCCTGAAGGAGCAGGTCATTATCCACTGTCACCCCTCACTCCATGCCTCACTGCCTTGGGTATAAAGCACATTCAGTTTTATGTATCATTTTGATCTTCTCTATGCCCTTGTCAGGTAAGTGGCATAGATATCATGGGCTTTATTTTACAGAAATAGTTTAAAAAGGAGATAAGAAAATTGGCCCAAGTTACACAGCTAGCAGCTAACCAACCTCACAGTTTAGATCTCTGGACTTCTATTTTACAGACCTAAAAATTCATGGTTGTCGCAAAAGACACATAGCTGAATTTCCCCATTTTACAAATAAAGAAACTGAGGACCACAGAGGTGAAGCAATTTTTCCAAGGTCACACAGAAGCAGAATTTAGGAGGTTAGCTGGAAGCGGCTTTACTCAGCCTTATTTCTTATTGAAGATGTGTATTATATGAGGAAGCAGGGAAAAAAATTCCTCAGACTGCCAAAAAAGTACGGCTACTTCCACAAAACCAAGTTATCTTCTAATGTTTAATAACTGTCAGGATAACCTGCTGTTAGCATAACTGCATTTTAAAAAATGGAAATTGTTAGCCGGCGCGGTGGCTCACGCCTGTAAT